GTTCCATGTCCCTTGTGTGTATTCATTCATTTGGTTATTGCTATAGTTGTGCCCAGTGCTAAATAATTGGTATCTCCCATGAGTAATTGCAGTACTGGGCAGGTAGCTCTAACAGGGAGCAGGGGCGCAGGGAGCTGAGTGAGGAATGTCAGAGCGAGCTGGGGAAGGCTTCACAGACCCCTTAGAGATGAGGGAGGGATGTTCGACCCAAGTCCAGTGTGGGAACGGAGAGACCTATGTATCTGGATTGTAGATTGTGGTGAAGAATGTAAATGAGGCTGGAGAAATTGACTTGCCTGTTAACTGAAATATCCTGTAGACCCTGAGAGGCCGGTGTCTGTATTCTCTTGTAAATGACTTTTCCCTTTTTATGGCCTCAAAAGCAGTACATACTGGAAAATACTTGGGGGGGGGGGGTGCAGGGAAGTGATGGAAAAAGAAAAACATCTATAGACCTATCACCCCAGCACAGGCTTAAGTTATTTTGATGTCCAGTCTCCAAAATAACCATATATTGTCTAACCATGGTGAAAAATGGCAATAGGTGATAGATGCGTTGGTGGAAAAAAAAAAATTGTTAAAGATGAGTGAAAAGCAGCACTATTAGCCCATCAGTTTTTGGAATCTGCGTGGTTGGCCTGTTCACTGCAGCGTGTGATTGGCCCTCCCTGTCTGGTGCTGATCCGCTCGCTTCCTCTGGTTCCAGCACAGGATCAGGAATTACCACAGACCCCGCTGCGAGTGATGAGTCCTGGAGGTGGGGGCAGGATAGGATGTGAGCCAGAAGGGAAAACATGCAGCTAGGAGAGTAAACAGTAGGCTCTCAGCACAAAGTAGTGATTGGGGCTTTTCTAATCAGCCGTGTGTTGATGTTTGGTGCTGAAAGGATTTTTATACTTTTATATGCTGCTTATAAATGTGTTCCTCAGTACTGCATCTAAGTAAATAGTTTCTGTCAAATCCTTTTTTGACCTATGTTTTGACTAGTTATAACTGACTTGGGATTCGTATTTTTTTCTTTTCTTTCTTCCTTTTTTCTTTTTTTTAAAGATTTCCTTAAAAAAATTTTTTTTTAAACGTTTGTTTATTTTTGAGAGAGAGAAAGAGACAGAGTGTGAGCAGGGAAGGGGCAGAGAGAGAAGGAGACACAGAACCTGAAGCAGGTTCCAGGCTCTGAACTGTCAACACGGAGCCCGACTTGGGGCTTGAACCCATGAACTGTGAGATCATGATCTAAGCGGAAGCTGGCCGCTGAACCGACTAAGCCACCCAGGTGCCCCAGAAAAGATTTCCTTTTATTAACCACCTATATAACACTTCTAGTCCAGATCACTGCAGCTTAACAAATCACTTCCAATTCACAGCTATTTATTAACTAAGAGCAATGGGTAAAATCCATACGCCAATTCAGAAAACTTCACATCACCACCAGTTTAGAACATCTAATTCACCAAGTTTAGATGATTTAAAAAGGACAATCAGAAATTAAACATCTTTGGGGTGGCTGGGTGGCTCAGTTGGTTGAGCTTCTGACGCTGGCTCAGGTCATGATCTCATGGTCTGTGAGTTCGAGCCCCGCGTCAGGCTCTGTGCTGACAGCTCAGAGCCTGAAGCCTGTTTCAGATTCTGTATCTCCCTCTCTCTCTGACCCTTCCCCGTTCATGATCTGTCTCTCTCTGTCTCAAAAATAAATAAACATTAAAAAAGAAATTAAACATCACAAATAAGATTTTTTATTTGTCAGCATTAAATGTCTGAATTTTAAACAGATTCTCAGACTGGTGGCTCCTATCCATCAGCTCGTTCAAGTTTAGCACTGGTTTCATCCCCAGTAGTTTTTCCAGAACTACTGCCTTCACCATGAATCTGCAGGAGTTTTCCTAACTCAGATGTGGGCTTCCTCAGCATTTTTACTTTTCTAACAAAGACCTCACGGAGTGGATAAATAGACTGATAAGCCTTCTCTGTATCTTTTCTGATGCAGTCTAGAATGAGTTTATAAATTGAAAAAAAATTTTTTTAATGTTTATTTTTGAGAGAGAGAGAGAGAGAGCACAGTCAGGGGAGGGGCAGACACACACACACACACACACACACACACACTCAGACACACGGACACACAGACACACACACAATCGGAAGTAGACTCCAGGCTCCCAGCTGTCAGCACAAAGCCCAACAGCGCAGGGCTTGAACTCATGAACTGTGAGATCATAACCTGAGCCAAGGTCAGACGCTTAACTGACTGAGCCCCCCCAGGCACCCTTGTTTAGAATCAGTTTATTGACCACTGCTTTCAAGTCATTTATCTGTACCTCTTGGGTCGTGATTTCTATCACCTTTTTCCAATTTTGTCAGACCTGTTGGTGTCGACCATAAGTAGTCTTCTGCATCTGGTTGTTGCGTTTTTTAGTAAAACCAACACAAAATAGACGAAGTAAATAACCATCAGTAATCATGACATCACCATGAGCTTCAGTCCTGGTCTGCTGTGTTTTGACCATGGAGCACATTTTCTTACAGCTAAGATCCATGTCATGGAAATTAGGCAGTTTTTGCCCTGAACATCCTCACTAATCAGCTTGACTTTCTAAATGCAGCTTTATCGTTCCTGCAAATCAACAAGGCTCACTTCAGAAATACAACCCTTGAGGCCATCAGATGTGACTTTGTTTCCTTGATTTCTCCTGACGAGTGTTTTTCCAGTATTTCTTATATTGACAGTAGCTGGTGCTTTCACATCGTATGCATCGTACTTAGAAAATGGACCAACCGCTTTCTTCCTGGCTCCCTTTTTGTCACCTTTCATAAGGCACTTGTTCTGACCACCACCATCGTGCTACTCAGGGAGCCAAAAGGCAGGATTCTTGTTTTGTTTTGTTTTTCTCCCCGCTCCTCTTCCTCGTGATTATAGACAGTTGACTGTGGTTCCTACTAGAATATTTTCTGTTCGTAAATTTTTCATACCACTTACAGTGTGTTGTATCTGCAGATTTGTAGTCAGCTTACTTTTACTTAATTAACATGGTATTACAAGGGTTTAGAATGTTGTATTTTAGTAGCAACCCCAGCCTCACTGGCAAGAGTCTCTGATCATCAATACCAGGTAACTCTGTGGTCACTTAGGAGCATGCCTCTAGAACTGTGCATGTAGGAAAAAAAGTCTGTTCACAGATACGTATCTGCATTTCAAAGTGCCTGCCCTTACAACTGTTGACTTGGGTTTATATTGAAAACCCGTTTGTTTTCTTTTAATATCTAGTTTCGTGTTTTTCCCAGATGGCAGTAAAACAGGTCTCTTCTGATGCCTCGATTTTAATTGCTTTGGAAAATGACCGCCCTTCCCCCACATAACTTTCATTTTAAAACCCAGACACGTGTTCCCATGTGATGCCACATTTCCTAAATACAGTAATAGATAGACTCTGGTGTTATTTCTGATTCTCTGTCAACAACGTCGTCACATGGGCAGTATTTCCGTAAATATGTTAGAGCAACTTAATCATTCCTCCCAGGTTTAGTGTGAGAAATGCTGCTGTTGAATGTTTTGGGCAGCATACACCATTTTCTAAATCTAAAATTACTTATTTAGGACAGATTCCTAGAAGTGGAATTAATTGGTTTTAGCAAGTGTGGATATTTTTATGGCTTTTGACACATAATGCCAGCTTCCTTGCCATGCGTTCAAGTGTCCATCAAGTTTTCCACATTAGTCAGCAGGGTGTGAGATGTTTAGAGAGGGAGTCCCCAGGGAGGAAGACGCTCGGGAGCCCCCCAGAGAAGCCCAGGGAACAAAGGATAGAGGGGGATAGAGGGGGACCAGGTGCCCAGAGACCAGGAGCCACACACCTGGCACCTGGC